AGTTTTTGTTGCTTTTTTTTTCCACTAATTTGGGCTCTATTCTTTTAGGAATCTATCTGTGTTGTTTTTTTCTATTGGAGGGACTTTTGTTTTGTTTGTGAGTTTTTGAGTGTGTAAAACCTGATTTCTACCTTAATGAACTACTGTATATTTTTCCTTTTGCATTAGCCTGTAGCTTGTGCAGCAACAGGTGAGGAACCTCTTCAACATCCGTGCCTCATTATTTCGACGCTTTTTGTGCTGTTTTGAGCCAAGACAGCTGTTAAATGCGCTGGACATGCTGCCCAACAATAGATTTTATCTCCTCCTCCCTTCCAAACGTCGTCAAACTCTTATTACATTCCCTCACTATTCCACAACCACTTTCCTACTAAATCTACTTCCTAAATGCCTTCTAGGAGCCCTAGAATGATATCATCTGGTATCAGAGCCCAACAACAAAAATTTTAGGGATTTGTCATTCCTCCGCCTATCCAAAATTTCACATAACTTAAATCATCGACCAACTCAATACTCTAGCCACAATTCCCATAATTTGTAGTCCTAAGTCTGAAATTTTCAAAATTTAATTTTCCTACCTTCACTAAAATTTCGCTGCAATCCTACATCCATCGGAAACATGATCATGAGAAAAGGAGGTTATGCCGCCTAGGAGAAATCTCCAAAGAGGGGTCCACGAGTTTACCATGAGGATATGCATCGGAAAATCCTCCAAATAAAGCAAAGGCTTATCACCTTTTAGAGAAGACAATCCAACAAAATCACCTATATCCATTACAGTGGTCGCTAAATCGAGAGGAAGAAGTGAATCCCATCCACCACACAACTTTTAGTGATGAAAAAACAATACCCGACGATTTGAAGTTAAATATCATGGTAGAAACCAAAATGTTGGACTGAAGATTTGACTTGTGTGAAGGTCGCATGGATCCAAACAAATTCATTGAGTGGCTCCAGACAATAGAACGGGTCTTTAAATATAAGGATATTCCAACTAAAAAAAGGGTTAGGCTAGCAACTACTGAGTTAAGGAAGGATGCTTCTTTATGATGAGAGAACTTGATGCATCTTCGACAGCGAGAAGGGAAGACTAAAATTACTACCTGGTGCAAGATGAAATGTAAGATACAACACAAATATCTTTTCTTGTATTACCAACAAGATAGTTCATAAGACTCTAGAGATATTCTTCTATGGAGGAGAACACGGCTGAGTTCAAGCATCTTATATTGAAATGAGAACACCCTAACTCGATATATGGGAGTATTGAGACCTTCCATTAGCAACATAGTACAGTTACAACCATATTGAACATTATAAGATGTTAAAACCTAGTTTTGAAGATGGAGAAACATCATCACCACATACCGGCACCTCTTACAGACAGAGTTCAACCCCGGGATCAAATAACAAGAGTACACTCAGTGGAGCATCCTAAAAAACCCCACTTGAGGATAGATCAATCCAATGTGGAGAAAAGGTGGAGCCCACCAGCACTACCAAATATATCCCTGTCACTAAATGTTTCAATATCACGAGTTTGGGCATGTGGCGTCCAAATGCCTAAACAAGAGAACGATCTCTTTCACTGAGTAGAGTTTTTGAATGAATGGACAGTAACATAAGAGAAAATGAAGAAATCAGAGTGAAGCCTCAACTTCCAACTAACGAGGGAGAGATATTAGTGATTCAAGCTGAGCCTAAAACGGAGTTCACAACATAATTAAAGTTAATTGTCCTAGAAGATAGTGAGTCTAAGTGACTGGTGCTCGAAAAGGACAAATCTTGTTGAGAGAGTTGTTGGATATCATGCTGACACTTTACCTCATGGATAACTACCATTGAGATCGTAGATCTCATTCCGGAGTTTTTTCTGCCAAACAAACTTGCCTACGAGATGAGAACATTTGAGTATGAAAAATTGCCATGTTACACACTTGATGGATAGAGATTTGATTCATGGGAGTACAAGTCCAAATGCACTTTAACTTTGATTATGCCAATGAAAAATAATTTTTTATTCCATCAGGACGTACTTGGGAAGGGCGTGTGAGTTTTAAGGTTGTCTTGGGTAGAGGTGAGCATAGACTTTGTAGTGGGGCTCTCTCAGCTATAGCAGTGCAACGACTTTGTTATGGTAGTAGAATGATTCCAAATACTTCTTGAGAAGAAGACAAAGCTCCTACTTGGGATAATGACGTGGAAGCATCCGTCAAATTCACAAAATTGAGGATCCAGTGACTCCCAATCGTGGGAATTACATAACTGGAATCGCAAAAAATGGGAGTTCCACGACCCTAGGAAGGACGAATAGGAACTTTTCGTCCGGTTGGAAATATTCACAGAAATCTTTGCTATTTTGACTTGTTCCCTTCATTTTTTTTTTCTAATGTGTTTTTTTCTATTAGAAACCAATTTATGTGTTGGTTTTTTTTCTTTCAGTTGGAGGAACTTATATTGTGAATTTTGGATATTGTCATATCTGATTTCTACCCTAATGGGCCCTACTGGAGTGTTGTATCATTTTCTCTTTGCAAGTTGTGTGTATGTAGCATGTGCAAATGCAGGTGATGACTCTCCTCGATATTCACACCTCATTATTTCGACATTATCTTTATTTTTTTTCAGCTGGGACAGCAGCTGGATACGCCGGATCTGCTGCCCGACAGGAGATTCTATCACGTCGCCCCTTCCAAATGCTATCAAACTCACATATTTCATTCTCTCGGAATTCCACAACCACTTTCCCACTAAATCGCCTTCCTAAATAGCTTCTAGGAGCTCAGAAACGGTATCAAAGATAACAGGATGTAAATCTAGGGTATGATTGTAGTCACATTCCTTAATGAGCTGTAGCTTGAAAAGATATTCCATTGCAGCTTTGACTTAATCTTGTTCCTGAAAACTCCAAGTTAAAGAGAGAATATGAAAGATCCAGTTTCCAACCAATACTTCAGAAAGAGGGCACAACAATGTGGAAAACAGAGCGAGAGAGAGAGAGAGAGAGAGAGAGAGAGAGAGAGAGAGAGAGAGAGAGAGAGAGAGAGAGAGAGAGAGAGGGATATATTGCATTAGAAAGAAGGTTTGATCTTTAGTTCATTAGTGACGTAAAACGGAAAGGCCATGGTTGACGATTTTTTTTTTTTTTTTTTAAAAAAAAAAAAAAAAAAAAAGATATGTTTTTTTAATTAGATAATTTTTTAGGTCATTATCATGTAATGATTAAATCATCAATGTAAAAACATATAAAAATATAAACTTAATTTTTTCATTAAGAAAATAATCTTCAAAAATTTAGGTCAAAAATTATATTTTGAAAATTGTTATGTTGTCATCATTATCACCATCATGAAAGAGCAACAATATGTAATACTCTCCTTTAACATAGGCATAATCTAGTATTAAATGTTTGGCATCCTCCCCTTTCTCTCCACCTTTTAAGACTTAATTTAAAAGAGTTTTGGATGCTTTACAAACAATGATCCCTTCAATAAACAACAACAACAATAAGCCTTTATCCCACTAAGTGGGACCTGATACATGAAATCTTTTCTCCATTGTGTCCTATTGAGAAATCAACTACGCAATTAAATAATAAAAATTTTAGACTTTCCATTTACTTCGACGAATTTATGAAATAATTTGTATTTTAATTCAGAAAAATAAAGAGTATTATTAGAAAATAAACTTGGATTGAAACGTGAATAAATGTTGCTTTTATTCAATGTAAATGTGGTTTGATGGCTCTCTTATTAGGCTACTTTGGTGAGTATCGATAAAAAAATCTTTGTATTTTCATGTTATTATTCTTATGAATGATACTATACCACTTTTCCATTATCATGTTCATTATTCATAATTATCTCCTTTTCCATCATGATTTAATTTGATCTTCATTCCTCCATATCGATTAATTTCAAAGGTAAGAGATTGGATATCTGTTACAAGGTAGATAATTTTTTTAGAGATTTCTCCTCTCATTTCAATAGTTGTTTATGTTATTAGTAGCTGTCAAAATCCCCTCATGGCTCTATTCTCTTTAAAACACTAAATTTTTTCTTTGCCATCAATCAAATAAGTTTTTTAAAATGTGTCAACCTTTTTGAAATATTATTGCAAAAAATAGTTATCTCAACTATCTTTAGACTACTTCTATTTTATTTGCTTTCCTGCTTTTTCTTCCTTTATCAATATGTTATTTCTTCCACCTTAATTTTACTTTCATCAACCAAAACTTACACAAGCATTTTAAACTCTGAGAACAGAATTCCTCAAGTAATGGAATATGACATGAAATAAGAAGGCAACTGTAAAAATTTAACTTTTCCATAACAAAATACAATTTTTTTAAGTACAATATGCCATTCGAGGTAACTTAAAAATGGAATCATCTACATTAAAGGGTGTCAAAAATTGATCCGACATGTCAACTCGACTCAAAAAAATTGTATTCCGGTTGGCCCAAATAATTTTTGGGTCAGATTCAGGTTAAGAAACCAAATCAATTTAATTGTTTGAGTCAGGTTCAAATTGACACGCCAACTTGAAATTGACTCGAAATTGAACCGTTAATCAGAAATTTACTCGAAATTAATCTGCAAACCTAAAATTGCCCAGAGATTAACTCTAAATCAAACTGAATTACTTTTATGCCATATGTTAAATAGGACGGGTTTGGTCAATGGGTTGAAAGTGGGATGAGTTCGGGCTAGACTTTCTGATCCGTTTAATATTCAGCTATGGAATGCGTCAAACAGTTTAGGGTTCGGTCAACTTTGTGTCAAACCGAAGCCCAAACCACGAATTCGATTTAACAACCCTAATCAACATGTAAGAAATTAGTCATCAAAGTAGAAATAACAAATATATAATAGCTAAAATGCATACAAATGAACACCCACTACTCTATATCAACTGACCATCAAACTAAATGACACACAATCAGTTAACCTAAACAAAACAAATATGGATAAAAAGAGAAGGTTTCAACTTTTCCTTACCTCGAGTTAGTGAACCACTTGATGAGATGTTGCAGCCTATCAGTTGACCTGATATGACATAAAAACCTTAATTTGCCTCATTGTAACCTTATATATAACACATTTAATGCAACATTTAATCTGATTCCATATTTTTTACAGGGAACATAAATTAGCTTAGGTTAGCCCAACTTAGCTTAAACAAATTGTTGGGTTAGTCTAGTAATTTGGTACATGTAATTAGCCTAAAATAGCTGATCTGCAATGAATAATCCATATGGGTGGAGATCCTTAATCATTGCTCCACCTTCAATTTAACTCATTCAAATCAAATTGAAGATGAGGGAACTCCCTCGTTCCAATCCAAACTTGGTCTCTTGTCATCTTTCATTGAAAGAAATGACAACTACAAATATGAGTTAATAAAGAATGAAAGGAGGTTAGGTTTCATCCTCCTTGCTTCAAAAGGCATCTTACTTCTCATGGGCAAGGAGCTTTCCTAATTAAATTGCTTAACAACTTTATAATGACATTGATTTTGATTGCCTAGGTTCAACAACCTAATTTCAACAAGGTTACACATTAAAGGAAAGAAAGAGATGAGAGATATTGGGTGTACTTCTATAGAAAGTGAGGGATCTAAATTCTTAAAAACATACATTGGTCTCTTCGCTTCCGCAACTATCTGTAAATAATTTAGTGGTTTAATGGATTGATGGATGATGAACTTTTGTTCATTTAAAAGGGCAAACATATGCCGTAATAATAAGCTTTGATACTGAATCTAACACAGAACATCTTAGGATTCAAAATTTCCTAAAGCAGATAATGGATAAGATTCACAAAATGAAACACACAATATCAAGCATTAACTCAAAGACAACGGTAGTATAAGCATAAACAAATCCAATATGCACAAAACTTGAACTACGAAAGTGAAAATTGAGAAACCATTAATAAAATACTAAGTTAGAAAATGAGAACCCATTAACATTCTTCTCTATCCCATAGTACAGAGTATTATGACATATAACACTATTTACACAAGCATTATCAATAATTTTCTCATAGCTCGAAAAAGGGTACATTTAAAACAATGAAAGTGATTCTATCATTCAAAGTATGAAATTTATGTTTAACAAAGTAATTAGATTAGGAGACCAGATAAGATTATTTTGTTCAATTTAGATTAATATGAATGACCTTTGATTAACAATCATACATCAACATTGATAAACATATACCTTTTAAAAGCCCAAACATTTCAAATGGGAAACAATAATAAAGTCTAGTAGAATTTAAATTAGTATGTCTTCACATATTTCATAATTAAAGAAACGAACAAGGAGTCTAACTTATAAAGAATACTTTAGATTATGAATTACTAGAAACAACTAGAAGAAACATATTCATTAAATGAAATTATAAACAAGAAATTGATATCCCATATGGTAATAAGTTGAAACATGATAAAAATGAAAGCTAGGAGTCAAAGGATAACCATTGGTTCCTTCCACCATAGGATATAAGAAGACTCATGGAGAATGGCCTTGACGTGTCAAACATCATGCAGGATACATAGAAATGGAGGTACATTACCTAACAAATAACTATATTTTCCTAAAATATACTCCAAAGTTACTTAGCGACCTCTTGAACAATGAAAAGTTGCACATTGAACAAAGTTGTATGCATCATGTACCAGTCAAGAACGTTATTAGATTACGGGGCTGTTGGGTTTGCTGAAAAAGTAATAGAGTAAAATAAATGTAATTCAAAAGTAATGTTTTGTATTTAAAATACTTTTAAGTTATTTGGTTCACTATAAAATAAACGTAAAGCATTATATTTTTTTTGTTTGGTTTGAAGTATATTGGAAATAATGTATTTCAAAACATATAAGGTATTATTGGCGGGTGACTGGTGGCGAACGACATCCGGCAACAACAATTGGAAATTGACACTAGCAACTGGTTGCAGCGGCGAGCAGTAGCTCTGGGGGCAGGAGGGGGCAACAATTGACCAATTGTGGGCGGCGGTGACAAAAAAAGGTAGTGGCGACTGCAGACGACGACTGGCAACTACGGTGAAGGTGGTGGGTAGCGGACAACGACCTATGACGTTGGGTGTTGTTATCGGCGGTGGCAAGCTAGCAGCCGTGGGCTGGTGGTAGTGGCGAAGGACAACAATGGCAACAACCAACAATAGCAGCAGACAATAGTGGTTGTAGGAAGCGGGCATCGACGGTGGCGGCGGGGTCAGGAAATTGTGGGCAGCAGGTGGCGGCCTGCAAGAGACAGAGGGCGACAAGCGGGAAGAAGTGGCAGGGGCAGGCAACGACCAACGGTCAGGCAACGACCAACGGGCAGTGTCCGATGTCATCCAGCTGGTGGCAGCTATGCAACAACCGGCAACGGCCGCCGGCCTGCTGATAACATGATGTAAATCTCAAATTCGATCAAATCGGTTGAATTCTAAAATTGGCAAAAATTAATTAAGGTGTAAATTTCAAACTCATTCATGCTTTACACTTTATTTGTAATTTTTCATATCAAATACTTAATTTTCTAAAAAATCAGCAAAAGAATTACAGTACACTACAAATTTTCCAAACCAACAACCCCTAAAGTATCTTATTAGATTGCTCAAAATTCTCCTTTAAATTTTGCATGACATCACGATCACGAAGCTAATTAAAGTTTTATGCTTAGAAAACATGATCATAAATTTATTTTATATTTTTTTGGTATATTATGTTAAAATGAAGAAAGGATTGCGAGGTGATTTAAACAATGTAGTGGTGGAATTGGAACCTCTCATGAATTCATCATGATAAGATTGGGACATGATTTTTAACTATGAAATGATTGAAGCAATACTACATACCCAGGGAGGATTGTCAGCATATGAGCCAATAAAAGCTGTTACAGCCATATATAAACAGATAAGGAAAAGAAATGGAGACTGAAGAGAAGAAGCTAACGGACAAAAAGGTGAGAAGCTAGTTATGTAAAGAAGCACAAAAGAGAAAGTTGTTATCAAAAGAAGCAAAGAGGTTTCAAAAAGTAGGTGGATGAGAAGAAAATAGTTAACAAAAGCTAATACTACAGAATTGTTGGATATTTCAAAGATCCACATCTGTGGCTTGCCTGCATTCTCATCCCCCTCAGCATCCCATTTGGCACCATTTGGCAAATGCCACTGATATCAAATACAAAGGTGTTAAGAACCTACTTAGTTATTAAATTGGATACAGTTGCATTGCTTTGAATATAAAAAAAGGAACAAAAAGTCAGTAATCCTAAGCAAATCCCTACAGTAGGGCATAAATCCAACTCAACTACTAATGCACAATGATATCTGTCGAGAATAGTTAGCATTTACCAACAGGGACAAGTCTAATGATCTACAGAAATTTTGGATATTTCGAAGAGCCACATTTGTGCCTTGCCTGCATTCTCATCCCTCCTCAGCATCCCATTTGGCAAATGCGACTGATATCAAATACAAAGATGTTAAAAACCTATTTAGTTATTAAATTGAATGCAGTTCCACTGATTTGAATATAAAAAAAGGGAACAAAAAGTCAGTAATCCTAAGCAAATCCCTAAAGTAGGGCATAAATTCAGCTCAACTAATATTGCACAATGATGTTTGTCGAGAATAGTTAGCCTTTACCAACAGGGACAATTCTAATGATCAACAGAATATTAGCAGCCCACATTTTCAATCCTTTTTTTTTCCGCAATATTGGTAAAACGTTCAACAAAAATAAAAAGTAAAGAAAGAAAAGAAGAAGAAGAAGAAGAAGAAGAAGAGAAGCGCACCTGCAATTTGCTCAGCTACTCCGCCAAAGAAGATGAAGAAGTAGGAGGAGCGTGCTTGACGACAATGGGAGGACGAAAAGCCGTGCGTTCCTTTTCCTCTTGCTTCCTCGCATTGTGCATCTCCTCTGTCTCCACCACCACCAGTCTCTTCACCTGCATATTAGTCTCATCAGTCGAAGCAATGCGATCGAGCTTGAGATCAACGTCAATAAGCTCTACACCGCTATCGAAATTACTTGGTTGAGCATTCCGAGGAGTGAAGGGGTAGTGCGGTGAATGACGGTGCGGTTGCAGCGGCGGAGACGCATGGCAGCAAGAGTTCTGCGGTGGAGCTTGCGTGTGCCAGGGAGGCCACGGACTAGGGTTATGAACAGCCGAGGGCTCCAGGCCACCGGAACCCTAGCCTTAAACGCGTTGAAGGCGCTCCCGCTCATTATCGATGCTCTTCTTCCACTCAGCCACGGGTTAATTGCACCACCAAGGACTTCGGTTTTATTTATTTTTTTCTTTCGTTGTTGTTCGCACATATATTAGGGCTGTCAAATAGCATGATCTCGTTCGTTAAGTAAACGAACCGAACACAAATAATTTTTGTGTTCAATCATGTTCGACTCGTTTTAACTATATATATATATATATAATACTATATATATATATATATATAAATTACATATATATATACATTTATTATATAATAAATTATATATATTATTTATATAATAATATATTATATATAGTTATATAATAATTACATATTATGTGGTAATGTGATTAATGACTTCTTTTGCATACATTTGGTCCAGATTCGAATTCAACACTTTACATCTATTTTTTCAATTTAATTTTAACGAGTCAATTTTGAGCCGAACACGAATATTTAAATTGAATCGAACACGAACACAGTGTTCACGAGCAGTTTCGAACGAGCCGAACAAAAGCTCGCTCAAGCTCGGTTCGTTTACAACCCTAACAGATATATCACAAAAATCTTTTAAGATTTAGGGCTTAGATATGGCATACATACATACTAATTATATATATATATGTAAAATTAAAATTTAGGTGTTTGATAGGTGTCTGCATTTGAATATGGCATACAATTCCTTTTCAATTTTATCTTATTTTGCAAAAAAAATTTATTGATACATTTCAATAATTTAATTATTTTAGATTTATTAAAGATGTTAAAGTCGTTACTACATAATCTCTAAAATTATTGCAATCGTTAATATATATCCCCTATGAGAACCATAACTTTGTTCAGATTTGATAATTCCACCAGCTTATGCAAGCAATATAAATTCTAATAGGTGGGAGAAAATATTGCGTCATTCGTTTGCACATGCAGACGACTAACGATCGGACGATGCCTCGGCATGCATGCTGAAGTGGCACTCAGTCACGCTGAGCTGGCTCCCGACGGTTGGTCATTCACATGTGCAACTGATCAGACACAATATTTTCTCCATGGGTGTAGCTACAAGGGTGACGTTGGGTCATAACTCCACTGACTTAACCCAAAAACATAATTTTAAAATGACAACCATGATATGTACGCCTACGGCCATCAATCTTAATGTTTTCAAAACGAAGCTTATAAACTTTAGCCAACATAATAAAGAATCTACTTCTCAACCTGACAATGTTTTTAAAAATTTAGAGGGAAGATAGAGATAAAAAACAGTGAAATGTGTTAATTTTGGGACGAAATATCATAAAATTTTAGTAGAAATTTTTACTTATTTTGATTAATTCAATTGTTATTTTTTAATAAGAATTTAAATAATAATATGATTTTGTAGCAGATTTTATGATTATAAAACTCAAACATTTTTTTAAAGAATTCTCAATTATATATCAAATTCTTAAAAAATATACATTTTTATTTATAAAATAAATATAGGATTTATTAAATAAGAGTATGAATACTAGTAATTGTATCGATAATAATAATATTTTCTTAAATAATTTTTACTTTTTATAATATTTGTCATTTGAATTACTAATAGAAATGAAAAAAAAAAAACTTTATTAAAAGAATTTGAGAATATATTTTTTCTTGTAACTTACCAGTATTTTCAATTGTAATTTGCTCAAAGCCGCACAAGAAGAAACTATTTCTTATAAAATTAATAAGTGATTTTTAAATTTATTGAGTTGTGCCCCGATTATAAAAATGTATTGCTCTGCCGCC